AAGGAAATGGTATCAGCTAGTTGAGGTCATCAACTCTCTCTTTGTATGAGAGCAGTGCCTTTAGAAACTTGGAGAGAGACCAACCTTGTACACAATGCCTGGTTGTACACAGTAGGAGATTCACAGTAGCCTTGACACAAACGTGTGAATGTGTAAGGTTTACCATTATATTCAAATGTGAACAAAAATTGACTGTCTTTGTGTACAGGAAAACTGAAAAATGCATTTGAGAGATCTTATGACAGTAAAAAATGTTGCAGAGGCTGGAACTTGGGAAATAATCAGATAAGGATTCGGGACGAGCGTGCATGCACAGCTGCATTTACAGCTCGTAAATCCTGGACAAATCTCCACTCGTCAGGAGGTTTTGTCTCTGATCTTTTTGACAGGAAACACTGGAGTGCGTACCGGAATCGTTACACGGAATAATGACCCCTTGTTTAAGCAGAGAGGTAAACACTGGCCGAATGCCATCAACAGCTTCACGTTTCAATGGGTACGGGGGTTGATTTGGACGGAACGTGGACATTAACACTACCTCATATCTGTGAGCTGCCCAGAGTGAGTATGGTACATCTGAAAGCGCGGCAGGAAGCTCAGAGATATGAGAATTACCTCATCATCCTCAACCAACAGCAATGTGTGCAGAACGGCTACGTTTGTGCACATTTTCATCATAATACACATCACGTGACATAGAATACATGACATATTCTGTGTGTGTAGGTGCCCAATCAGTGACTGACTCCCAATCTTTAACGATTGGACACAAATCCCTCCATCTATCAGTGGGGCCCCTGGCTAGTGAAATGTGTGGACCGCCCCTGGGATTTGACACAGTTTGTGTTGTGTGGGTGTGAGTGCAACAGGAACCAGCGCTGCGCAGCAAACTCCAATACATAGTTTTAATCATGAGCTCATCATTCACACATTCTAACAGGAAACTCTCATCATACGGATCATCAACAACGTTAGCAGTACAATGCAAATGAGAAGCCTCCATGAACACAGCAGGTGGAAAACCACGTTGATCAGTCAAACGCAACAACGCCTGAGTATCAGGATATGTCAGCAGCAATTTGATACACATTCACCAGTTCTTTATCATCAAATGCCAGTTTTTGAACGATCGTAGGAGATGGCTGCCGGACTTTAAGACCCTCATTTGTGGAAAAATTAGGTCTAAGCCGAACCGGAGAATCAGATCTCTGCCCAGTAAATGTATTGGGCAGACAGATGATAAAAGGAAACTGTTTTTGACTGATGTGGCAAATGGATGACTATCATCACCGTTATCTCTACTCTGAAGTGATACAAAAACTTCTCCTTTACAATTACCCCAGCCGCTCCTATTGAGTGAATAAATCTACCACTAAATTTGCAATCAGGCAAATCTGCCCTTTTTACCACAGAATGTGTAGCCCCAGAATCAACCAAAAAAATGGAAAATCAACACCCATGACAGCCAAAGTCAGTGTGGGACATTTCTCAAATTCTGTTTCACTGTCATATTTCAAATATATACCCTCTTTAACCACAGACATGTCTTCTACATTTTCCAATTACTCAATAGCATGATGTGTTTGTGTGTGTCACTTCCCTGGTGCTGCTTTCTGTCTCGCTCGATCGGGCCCCTTCCTCTCATCTGATTGTGAATGATGATTGCTGTCCCCCTCTGCCTCCACTGCCAGTGTTCTGTGAGCAGTCCCATAATCCAATGTTCAACACTGCCACACTTGAAACATCTTTCGTCAAATGAAGGTCTTGCTTCTCGTCTTCTGCCTCGGAAAACCTCTTCTGCCTCTCCCTCGGTATTGTGAGCGGCCAGTATTCTGCGTAGCTTGGGCTGTGTCTGTGAGTCCGTTGAGAAAGGCATTACTGAGGTGTGTCCCCCAAACACCTGCTTGGGCATCGGGTTTGTTTATCCCGCTGTTGTCCCCATCTACTTGGGGCTGATGGGGGTGGCGAGCTTGGAGTTGACGGACTGCATGGCTGGGGCTTGTAATAATAATAATAATAAATAATATTTTTATAGCGCCTTTCAGGAAACCCAAGGTCGCTTTACAAGTCGGGTAGGGGGGGGGGGGAGTAGGGGAAAAAAGGCAGACAGGTTAAGGGGGTGGGGGGGGGGGGGAAGTAGCGGAAAAATAAACCTATTAAACTAACTATACAGTGGCGAAAGCCTTGGTAAAAAGGTGCGTTTTGAGGGCTTTTTTGAAAATGTCCAGGGTTGGGGCGCTGCGGATTTCGGGGGGGAGAGAGTTCCAGAGGGTGGGGGATGCCACACTGAAGGCTCTGTCACCAAAAGTCCGCAACCTGGTGCGGGGGGTGGAGAGGAGATCCTGTCCAGATGATCTTAGCTTCCGGGATGGAGTGTGGTAGCGGAGAAGGTCAGACAGGTATTGGGGGGCGAGGGCATGGAGGGATTTGTAAGTCAGAAGAAGGAGTTTATAGGTGATACGGTGCTTGACTGGGAGCCAGTGTAGGTGGATCAGGGTGGGGGTGATGTGCTGCCAGGGCTTGGTGTGAGTGAGCACCCTGGCAGCCGAGTTCTGCACATACTGGAGCCTGTCCAGGGCTTTACTGGTAACCCCGAACAGGACTCCGTTGCAGTAATCCAACCGGGAGGAGACGAATGCATGAATGAGGGTCTCGGCCACGGAATCAGAGAGTGATGGTCGTAGACGGGAGATGTTCCTGAGGTGATAGAAGGCAGACTTAGTGACGGATTTGATGTGTGACTGAAATGAGAGAGTGGAGTCAAGGATGACACCCAGGTTACGGACTTCGGGAGACGGGGAGATGGAACAGCCGTCAATGTGGAGGAGGAGATCCCCAACCTTCCGGAGCAGTGCTTTGGGGGCCACAACCATGAGCTCAGTCTTCTTACTGTTGAGTTTGAGTAGATTTGCTGTCATCCAGGTTTTTATGGCGTGGAGACAGTTGACCAAAGACTGTGGAGGGAGCTGGGCGGATGGTGAGGTGCTGAGATAGAGCTGAGTGTCGTCAGCGTAGCAGTGGAAATTGAGACCGAATTGACGTATGATCTGGCCAAGGGGGAGCATGTAAATGGTGAAAAGTAGGGGACCAAGCACGGAGCCTTGGGGGACACCATGGTTGACTGGGGCCGAGGGGGAGGATGAGCCGCTGATGCTAACAAACTGAGACCTGGTTGATAGATAGGACTGAAACCATGACAGAGCTGTGCCAGTGATGCCAAGGTTGTTAGAGAGGCATTTCAGGAGGACTGTATGAGAAACAGTGTCAAAAGCAGCAGAGAGGTCGAGGAGGATGAGAATACTGATTTTTCCGGAGTCAGCAGCGAGAAGGAGGTCATTAGTGATCTTGAGGAGGGCGGTCTCTGTGCTGTGATGTGCTCTGTAGGCTGACTGTAGGGGTTCGTAGAGCTCATGGTTGGACAGATGTTGATGAAGCTGGGCGGCGACTGCTCTTTCCAAAGTTTTGCTAAGGAAAGGAAGGTTGGAGATCGGTCGGTAGTTGTTCAGCTCCTCAGGGTCCAAACCAGGCTTCTTGAGGATGGGAGTGATGGAGGCGGTTTTGAAGCAGGAGGGAACTATACCAGATGACAGAGAGGAGTTGATGATGTCTGTTATGATGGGGCAGAGGGTGGGAAGGCAGGCCTTGACCAGCACCGTGGGCATGGGGTCAAGGGAGCAGGTGGAGGCCTTAGCATTGGTCACCAGCTTCGAGACCAGTGGAACATCCACTGGGGAGAAGGAGGAGAGAGAGCATTGGGGATTGAGGGGTTGAGCCGGGAGTGTGCATTTCTGTGTCAGGGGCCAGTGCAGAGAGGGGGAGGGGGCGGGCACCAGGAGTTGTTGATGAATGGAGATCACCTTAGCCTGAAAAAAGTTGAGGAATTTGGAGCAGAGGTCAGGAGCTTCAGCAGTGTGCGTGGCAGGGAGGGGGCGGAGCAGTCGGTTGATGGTGGAGAATAAGGATCTGGGGTGATTTTGTTGTGAGGTGATGAGGGAGGAGTAGTAGGCGGTCTTGGTCTTGGAGAGAGCCTCCTTGTAGGACCTTACATGGTCCACCAGGGCCATACGGTGGACGGTGAGGCCAGTTCGTCTGGAAAGCCGCTCCAACCGACGACCAGTTTGCTTCATTGTGCGAAGATCAGAGGTGAACCATGGTGCCGGGCGGAGAAAAGACACCGTCCGGCTTCTGAGGGGAGCCAGAGAGTCCAGGCTGAGAGAGAGGGCAGTGTTGTAGCGGGCCACCAACACGTCCGGCGAGGTGTCGGAGAGAGCCGGGGCCATGTGGGTTATGAGGAGGTCTGATAGGGCTGATGCACTCACTGATTTGGTGTCTCTGAAGGTGATTGTGCGCCTGGGGCGCTGCTTGGGCAGGGGGATGGGGATGGTGAAGATGATGGCATGGTGGTCTGATACTGCCAGGTCTAGGCGCTGCAGATGAGAGGGGGGGGGCACCAGTGGAGCAGACTAGATCCAGCGTGTGACCTTTGGAGTGGGTGGGGCCCTGGACATGCTGTGTTATGTTGAGGCAGTCCAGAAGTGACAGAAATTCTTTGGCAAAGCTACAGCTGGAGGAGTCGACGTGGATGTTAAAATCTCCCAGCAGATAGGTGGAAGGTGATTTAGAGCAGAGAGAGGACAGAAGCTCACTCAGCTCGGACATGAAGGTGGTGGAAGCTTTGGGGGGGGCGGTAAATCAGGGCAACCTGGAGTAGAGGTGATCCGGAGAGCGAGAATGTAATACACTCAAATGATGTGATATTGGGAGAGGGAATCTCCCTGACCCGGATACCTGCTCGGTGGATAACAGCCAGCCCGCCGCCGCGGCCCGTGGAGCGAGGTTTATGGAGGTAAATATAGCCTGGGGGAGTAGCTTGGTTGAGAGCGAAGAAATCCTGCTGGTTCTGCCATGTCTCCGTTAAACATAAGAAATCAAGTTTCTTATCAATGATGATGTCATGGATGAGTAATGCTTTATTATTGAGGGAGCGGGTATTGAGCAGCATGAAGGTGGCTGCAGAGGAGACAGGAGGAGTGCTACTGTCAGAGCAGGCCAGGGGCTTCAGACAGCTGGTGCGCACGTGACGTGTGTTTAGATGACGTCGACAGGCAACACGGAAGTACAGAGCCGATTGTACCACAGGAATACTAGAATTTGTGTGAATAAATTTGTAGCGGGATGATCTGTGTATGTAGCGGGGGCGCTGCAAGAGTCCTGATGATCTGATGGCATCCAGGCAGACTGGTGCAGCAGAGCTGAAAAAACTCCGAAGTTGGAGAGCGGAGTATTGAAGCACCATATCCACAGCAGCTAACCGGCTAGCTACCGAGCCTCGGGCAACAGCACTCCGCGGTGCAATGATTGGAGCTAACTCACGGACAGTTCGGCCCTCGAGGCAACAGTCAATCCGGTTTAGGGATAATCCAGGTGGCGAGAGAGGTGGAAGTCCGAGCCAAAAACCCAGGGGAAAACGGGATTCGGCGGCTGTCGATGCTAACAGCTGACAGGTAGCTAGCCCCAGACAGCTGATCCACAGAAATGGTGAGTAGCCGGATGAAAAACTGAACAACGCGATCATCACACAGTTATGACAGAACAGTAGGCTATATATGATCCAGCAGTCAAATCGAACACTTTTTTTCAAGGCAAGAGAAGTTAAAACGCAGACGGAGAAGCGGCGAACAAGCAACGCCAGCGTCCTCTCACGTCCGAGTTGCGAGCAGACACTGACACGTAATTGTAGTGGCGGTGGAGGTGGTTGAGGTGGGCCAGCCGGATTGCCAGGGTTGTACCCCGGGGGAGGGAAAGGATACCCAGTCGAGGAGAGGTCATTCAGGCCTGCAATGGAAGGACACAGAGATGTCTGGGGTTTACATGGTTTTGGAAATAATTTATTTTCCTTCTTTTCTTCACATTCATCTTCAACCTTAATATTTTCTTTAATGCCCAAGGCCAACTGCCTTCTTTTACTCCCCAGTATTATAAACACTTTCTGTGACTGTCCAGTTTTCTATAAGTCTTTTACTTTAACTTTATTTTTACCCTTCAATCCATCTTCATGTTCTTGTAATTTATTCTTTAGGTTCTTGATTTTTAATTTACTCAAGAAACCTCCCTTTGGAAATCCGAACATTTCCGTCCAGATATTTAATTTAGACAGACTGTTTTCACCATGTTTCTGCTCGCATGACATCTACAATCGGACCCTCAGGAGAGTGTACTCGTCCCCTACCTGCTTTGCTCCCAAAACAAAGTATTTAAGTGTTACCAAAACACTTGCTTTGCTCCCAAAACAAAGTCTTTAAGTGTTACCAAAACACTTGCTTTGCTCCCATAACAAAGTCTTTAAGTGTTACCAAAACACCCCGTGTTACCAAAACACTATTTTTTCATCCGTCGATGATGTGATATTTGTTTCACAGTACAAATCACACAAAAACTAATCGTAATCCCAAATCACGACGGATATCCCAAATATCCTACTTTCGAGCAGTCCCTCTCATAAATGCCATGGAGTTTAATTACGTTTAACTTTAAACAATTTAGACACTGTACATCTCACCGAGTATTGAAAGCCTTTTGAGTTCGTTGGATCTCGTGAAGTCAATCGGTTCCATCCCCGGCGCTGGTCCTCTCGTCCCGTACGGTTTCTGTCGAGGTAGAGGAGGATCCGAGGATCCTGGAGCCGGCCATCACCAGCGTCCGTAGGTGTCCCCAATCGAACTTGCAGAGATCCTGCCGACAACGCCAATTGTTATGGAAATCTGAGACCCAATACTGTGGAGAGTGTTATGGAAATAATTGTCATAGACGCCAAGATGTAACATACAGGACAAACCTTGATGTCTGTTTACCTTCTTTAAGGACACAGGCTGCTTAGCCAATAATGTTATTATTCCCATTCTGTGACCGGTCAATACTGGGTCACAGATGGTCTGTGTTGTGGGTACACTGGGACACTTCCTTCTCTGTATTTGTGGACTCCAAGGTGAAATCTTCGAGGTCATAAGTGTCCGAGGCAAGTAGCTCTGTGTTCCCACACTGTTTAGGCTATCTCCTCAAATATGTTGTTTACTCTCTGCGAAACCAGTTAGATGGGCTGGCAAGAGAGAGGCTCTCCAGAATTGACGTGGCAACTCTACCGTGAAGTCAGAACCTCTGACTCTTGGACTTGTGATGTGAATCCTCCGGCCGTTAACTCCAAATAAACCATCATTGTGTTTGACATCAAAGCTACTGCTCTTCCCGTGTCTCCTTCCTGAGTCGGTGACTCCCACTGCATAGCTACACAGAAGTTTCCTCTACAAATTGGCGTTGTCGGCAGGATGCCAACAGATCTTCAGATTGTGGTAAGTGTGATTTTCAAATCTACTTTGGACATTGCCTTATCAGAATCTGTGATTGACGGTATCCTAAAATTACCTGTGAAACTGATCGGCTGCGTTTCCTTTTGGTTAATGAACATTTGGGGATGATAAACCCAGGGAATCAGTGTCTGGGGACTCAGTCCTGGCTTATTTCCTCTGTGTGTGCTGCTCGGGACGGAAGTGCCATACAGGCATACACAGCTCATGTTTAGAGATACCTTAAAGAAAGGGCATCAGTGAAGTGGAGCTTCTGTGTGAATTGAAAGCAATGTAAAAGATTTGTATTGGACAAATCGCCGGATTTTGAGGGTCTTAGTGGCTAAGCACAGCAGTTGAAAATAAGCAGCCAAAGATATTTGCTGCTATCACCTCTCTGTAAAAACACGGCTCCAGCTGCAGGCTTGTGTGTGTGTGTGTAAAAGAAACCTCACCGTGTGTGTGTGGGGCTGGAGCAGTGCAGGCTGAGAGGAAGAAAGTCACAGCTTATTGCCTATAGGTTTTAACTCACGGCACCGCCGTCCTTCAAACGGGACGGTCTAAAAGCACTCGTTGTTTAGGACCGCTTTTCTCATGGTTAGACGGGCCAGCGCGAAGTGCGTGCATCACCCGATGCGCTACGGCTCTCTGGAGCAGGTGGCGGTCAGGAGTGCATACATAAAATTATAGGCTAATTGATCAGAGGTGTGTAGTGGCAAGCAAGCATAGGCAAACTGTGTTTCACCTTGAGGTGAACTCGATGGCGAGTAGATATAGGCTGGTCGTACGGACTACAGTCAACTGAGCTGTTGTTTGGAGAGAAAGGGCAGGGGAAAAAGTCTGTGGGCTCCGATCGGGGGGGCACAGCGCCACTAGAAACAAATAGCCTAGTGGTTGTCGCAAGAGGATAAGCTAGTTATCGTTCTTGGACGGCTTTCAGGCACCGATAAATCACTTGTATGCAAGGGTGAGGCGTGAGAAGACGCCGCACTGGAGATAATTCCCCACCCCCTCTAAGATCTCTAAAATCCGGACTAAATTGAGCTGGATGAGCTTTGCTGTCGCGCTGGTGTTTATTAAGAGTTCATGTTTTGTTTGTCTGATTGTTTGTATGGGGGTCTATATTGGTTTGTCCCGCCGTCTTGTGTATGTTTTGTAACTAATAATGAATCAGTCCATAGACAGGGTAAAATGAACTAAACTTTAATTATCTCACCAAAAGTAAATGACCTGAGAAAAATAAAAAGTGCAGGGGAAAATGTAAACAAGAAGCACACTGTTCAGGGTGAGCGCTAGGTGTAAGAAGAAAATAAGATTATATTGCTTTAAGAATCCATTCTTAGATGGTATTGCTGGTATGTTAAGATATCTTTGTGACCTTGTATAAACCCTATGCCCGTCCTGCGCCCCGAGACCCTCAGAGACTTGCCTGAGGAGATCAGGGTTGCAAAATCTGGTTTTAGGTCAATGTTGTATTATTTGTTTCATTTATTCTTAATCTATGTATTGTATAGTAATAATGAATAAAAACGTAATGTATTGAACACATTCCGAAACAAAGCAGATAAGACAGAACTAGACTCAGACATAATACTAATTGTTGTTGAAACCTTTTGCGCTGTTGCAGCAAAATGGAAACTGTGTTAATTATTCTGTTCCAACTGGCCACTGGAATCAGGTGATTAATATAAGTTGAAGTTCAATTACAGTTTTAAAAATAGTTTAACATTATTTATTAAACTGCTTGAAAATATTTCTAGTATCAACCAATTGGTCTCTATAGACATTACTAAAATTAAAATAGTTGTTAAACTACTGACAAGTTTTCTGAAAGCGAGCTTATGAACAACAGAGTAAAGGTCGCTGGTTAAGCTAGGATCAATATATTTGTTGAAGTTTTTATTGTGTGCATAATAAATGTGTTAAATTAATTGAGCAATTCTTTAAAAGTATAATGTTGCAATTTCTTTAAAATAAGTAATTACAGTTACAAAATAGGTGTTGTTTTCCAAGGGCCTCTCTTTCACAGGCCCACACTTTGAATCATAACACTTCCAAGTCCTACAGAGATCAGTATCACTTTGTGTTGCAAGCCAAATCCAGGGGTTCTACTCGAGCCCAATTTTAAATACCATAAAGAAAAGTATTGAACCCAGCTCGAGCTAAATGTGAAATGTATTTAATTAATGTGCAAGTGTTTTGATTTATTTAAAATGTTCCAGTCTAGCTTCCTTCGAGTTTAATATAAACAACAGATTGGTTCTCATAACATTCTCACTGCTGTGCTGTCCCAAATGTTTGAAACCTTGGGCAGACAAGCACACACACACTTTGGATGAGTAATCACTTCATCCAAATTGTAAATTGTTGCCTTCTTTAAAGTTATTAGTAATTCAAGATTAATTATTAAATTAAATTAGGTACATAACAATAAACAAAATAACTTTGACTTGATCATTTTGTTCACGACATTAGACCTTGTCCTCTAATCTCTACTAGAATAAGATAAGTGTGCATGTTTGGGTGTGGAACACTCCTGTAAAGTACCTAATCTTGTTATCCTTTTCATTACAGAGCTGGGGAAATGGTGTATTGCTTAGATTCTGACCCGTGCAAAGTCCAATTTTGACTGACTTTAGTTTTAATGTTAATTTGATTTCAACCCATAAGTAATTATTTAGATTAACTCAACATTTCACATGATGATGGATTAGTGCTCCACATTTTTCCCACTAAT